TGTCCTGGGTGGGGATGGGCGGGGTTAAGGATGGATTGACACGAACCTTTGGAAAAGAGGCTGACAGGGGAGGGTAAGGAATGGGCTGCCCCAAGGGCTGTGTCTCCTGACCAGACCTCTAGGACCCTCGGGAGTGAGGGATGAGAGATTCCAGGTCAGTGGCCAGCCTCCCCTGGTGTGAGCCCCTTCAGTGCACATCTGGAGCATAGGTCTTTAAGTGAGGACCACTGGGCTCAGGCTGGGTAGGAGGTGGTCAGAACTTTCTGGAGTGCTTCCCCCAGCAGGATGAGTCCAAAGCCCCCCGGGAAGGTGTTAATGAAACAGGGAAGCTGTGAACAGACCCAGGAGTGATTCCAATCTGACACCTCCACCCCAGCCCCCACCAGTAATGAGCAAGGACCTGCCCTTCTCCCCGGGGAGAGGGTGAGGAGAGAGGGAGGGGTCCTTGGGCATCTTTTGGCATCTGAAGTCCCATTTCATCATCGTTATTTTTGCTGCAGGACAAAGCTCAGGATTATTGGGCACCTGCTATTTCCTGTGCACTGTGCTAAGTCTCTTTCATATATCTGATTACGAATCCTCCCCTCTAACCTATATAGTTTAAGCCTATATCATAAGCACTGCCTCGCTTACACAAGCTACAGAAGAAGCAATGTAGCTAAAGCAAAGCCAACATGGGGACCTGGAACTCCTAGAGTCTGTGTTCACAGGGTAGTGCGTGGGTGGGACACGCCCGTAATGCAAGCACTTGAGAAGCTGTGGCAGGGAGACAGTGAGTTCAAGGCCAGTGCTGAAGATACAGCTCAGATGGTACAGTGTTTACCCCAAGATGCACTAGGCTGGTCTCCAACATCTCATATAACCTATCATCTAAGCACTTGAGAGATGGAGGCAGAAGAATCCAGGGATTTAAGGCCAGCGTTGACTACAGAGTGAGCTTGAGGCTGCAAGAGATCTTGCCTACATAAAAGTAACTACATTAGAAAGTATTTGTTCTCTGTGTTTTTGATATGGTGCATCTGACATGTACCCACCGAGGACAGCACACAGGGAGGTACAGGCGGCATGTCCGCATGTGTCCTTGAAGTTCCAGAGGGGAAGAACGAAGGGTGGCAGGGTTCCAGCCCCACCAGGAAGGTTTCCTGTCTGTTCTCTACTTCCCAGGTGTGCAGTGAGCACTGAAGTAAGATGCTTCACCGCCTAGAGAAAGAGGGAGAAGGTGGGAGGGGTCTGCAGAAGGGTGGGGGCATGCTGGGAGGACCCCCACATCCCAGCTGGGGGAAGGAGGGGCTGAGGTGCTGAGTCCCTATTTGTAAACATCATTAATCAGGGATTAGCAGATGGCCATGCTAATTGCACCTGTGGAAGTGAGAGACCTCAAGGTTGATTACATTTACAAACTGTGGGGATCCCTGGTGCCTGGCCCTGCAGGGGCCATAGTGGGATCTAGTTTAGGGCCCCAGGCTTGGGGGAAGGTTTGACAGTGTAGCCTCCTGATTATATATATATATATATATATATATATATATATATATATCTTTTTTTTTTTCATATTCTAGTCTGGGAGGCCAGGTGAGAATAAAGAGGGGTGTAGAGAGGTGTGGGATCCATTCAGCTACTGAGAAAATTCCAAATTAGTTCCCAACCCTCCTGAGACCTTCAACGTTTTAACCAAGATGGAGGGAAAATAGGGAGAGAGCTGGCCGAAAGGAAATTCTGTAAATACTCTCTCAACTCTAGCCTTCCCCCAACTGTTCCCAGGGTCCCAGGGTAAATCATCACAGTGCCCTGACCCCCAGGCATATCCTCAGGTGCACTAGAGAACAGCAGTGTCCTCCAGAGGTGGGCATGGCCTTCCCTTTTCCCCTCTTGAAACACATTCTACTGCTTCTGCACCTTACAGACCATGAAAACCGAGACCTAGATTTTTAAAAATATTTATTTTTATTTGTATATGTATAAACATTTTTTCCTAAGTGTGTGTCTGTGTACCACGTGGGTGCCTGGTACCAAAAGAGGATGTCAGAGCCCCTAAGACTGGAGTTACAGATGGCTGTGAGCTGTCACATCAGTGCTGGGAATTGAACCTGGAAGCACAGCCAGTTAGCTTAGCTGATGAAGTATGTTTCCAGCCCAGTTTGCTGTCTTATACACTCCAGGACTACAAGTAGGTGGGGCTCTCCCACATCAATTACTCATCAAGAAAAGGCCCTCAGACTTGCCTCCAAGCCAATCTGATGGAGGCATTTTCTCAGTTGTGGTTTCCTCTTCCCAGTTGACTCTCGTTTGTATTAAGTTGACAAAAAACTAGCCAGCACAGTTATAGACAATCTCTTAAAGACTTTTTCTGTTCACACAGAGGGAGTCCCTCGAAGTCTCTGCGGGCACACAGAACCTGAGGTTTGGGGTACTTTCCTAAGGTTTTAATATAAACAGTCTTAATACCAGGGGTGCAGGACATCTTAATTTCATTACAGGCTGGGTGGGGCAGTGGGCTGTGAGAGGCAGCTGGGTACCTGATCAAGCGTAGGTCTCGAACCCCGGATACCCTAAAGGGTCGGTAGGTGTTCAGCCTTGCTCCTGGGCCCTGGTTCCTTTCACTTATCCACAGCCCCTCACAAAGAAAGGTTTGTGGCCTTAGATCACGTAGCACAGGTAGCACAGATAGCACAGGTAGAGGGTTTGACTACAAGCCACAGAGCCTCAAGAGATCTCCATATTCATGAGATACCTAAAGGCCCAAGGGTGTACCAATTTAGCATTCCTTCCCAGACCCTCTTACTTACAAAAAGCTATTTAACCTCAGGTGCGCCCTGAGAACACGGGGTACAGCTTCATCCACTTTCCGCCATGAAAATAAACCTTTTAAAACCATGGACTTCCTCGTGTCTTTGGGGCCCACCGTGGAGAACTGTAGAGGGGGCCTTCAACCAATGAGCCACTCCCTAATCTCCCGCTGGAGGACTTTTCTACGTTCCAGCCATGGAGGCCTGCCAACTCAAGCAAGGTAGCCGAGCCAGCTATGACCCAGCCGAGCAAGTCGCCTCAACCAAGAGTCTCATTCACCCCGCGGGGCACCCAGCCCATATCCTCCAACCCCACCCCTGTCTCAGTCCTTCTGTGGTCTCCCAGTGGCACCTGGGTGCCCAAGGGCCAGCTGCCTTGGCCTGGAGACCCCAATCTAAGAGCTCTGCCCCCACGGAACCTCAGACTGGGATCTCCCCACACCCAGAGTGGAACTCAGTGGCTTCCCCTAGCCCAGCATCTGTCTGGCACCGCACCGCATGGAATGAACTCAGTCGAATTCCTGTGCTTCTGCCCCCCTGAGCCATGGCAGACACGCAGGATCCACAACTCAGCCCAACAGAACCCATGCCCATGCACGAGCTACAGACCCACAAGGCTGCACTGCAGGCCTTAATGGTATGGCCAACACTAGGTCATTCTGAGAGCCACTAAGCACCATCCAGGAAGAGGGAATAACCCCCCCCCCCCCATTTAAACAAAACAAACAAAAACAAGGCATTGCTATAGTCTGATACTGGCTACACAAAACAGGCTACTCTCAAACTCGTTAACACCCTGCTACCTCAGCCTCCTGAGTGTTGGGATTACAGGCATGCACCACCATGCCTAGCAAGCCAGTGATTCTTGGACTCAGAGGCATGGCACCAATGAGGGACCTTTAAAAAATACTGACCCACTGTACATGGCACAGACACACAAAAACACACATAAAAAAAATTAAAACTGGGCCTGGAGAGGGCTTAGTGGTTAAGAGCACTGACTGCTCTTCCAAAGATCCTGAGTTCAAATCCCAGCAACCACATAGTGGCTCACAACCATCTGTAATGGGATCTGATGCCCTCTTCTGGTGTCTGAAGACAGAGACAGTGTACTTACATAAAAACAAATAAAGACATCTTTTTTTTAAATTAAAACTTTGTTTGTTTGAAACAGGTGTAGCCCTGGCTGTCCTGGAACCTGATTTGGAGATTCAGCTGCCTTGAACTCACAGAGATCTGCCTGCCTCTGCCTCTGGAGTGCTGGGATTAAAGGCAGGTGCCATAATGTACTGGCAAAATTAAAACATTTTCAAAAGGAAGGAAAAGGAGGGGCTTAAGAGATGCTTCAGGGGCTGGAGAGATGGTTCAGCAGTTAAAAGCATCGACTGCTCTTCCAGAGGTCCTGAGTTCAGTTTTTAGCAACCACATGGTGGCTCACAACCATCTGTAATGGGGTCTGATGCCCTCTTCTGGTGTGTCTAAAAAGAGTAATGGTGTACTCATATACCTAAAATAAATACATTTAAAAAAGAGAGAGAGATGCTTTGGTGGTTAAGAGTGTATAGTGCAGTTTGCAGAGCATGAGTTGGTTCCTAGCACCATGGCCAGCATCTTATAACCCACCTGTAGCTGGCTCGCCCTCTTCTGGACTCTGAAGGCATATGCTCTCATATCCACACAGACACACACATAAAATATACATAATAAAAAGTAATCTTGAAAGAAAACAAGCAAGAAAGAAATGAATTGGGTCTGGTGGCTTAGGCTGGTAATCCTAGATACTCAGGAGCCTGAGGCAGGGGGATTGCAAGTCCAAGGTCTGCTTGGGCTAGAGGATAAATTCAAAACCAGTCAGAGACCTTGTTTCCAAAAAGTGAAGAGGGTTGACAATATACGTGAGTGGTCGTGTTTACCTACTAAGAGTGTGGCCCTGGGTTCAATCCCCAGGACCTCTAAAAGAGAAAGTGGGGCAGGTCAGGTGGCTCAGTGGGTAAAAAGCACTTGTCCTTGGGCCTGGTGACTTGAGTTTAACCCCCTGAACTCACATGGTAGAAGAAAAGGACTCCAGCAAGTTGTCCTCTGACTTCCACATGTGTATTGTGACTGATACACACACACACACACACACAAGAGAGAGAGAGAGAGAAGAGAGAGAGAGAGAGAGAGAGAAGAGAGAGAGAGAGAGAGAGAATATGAAGCAAAGAAAGGCAAGAGTGACACTGGGCTCCTTCCCTGGAGACATTTATTTATTTATATTTAAAGGTTTATTTCAGATGGTTGTGGGCCACCATGTGGTTGCTGGGAAATGAACTCAAGACCTCTGAAGAGCAGCCGCTGCTCTAACCATTGAGCCACCCCTACAGCCCCAGGAGACTGTTATTTAATTGATCTGGTATCTCTGGGCACTAACAGCTACTCTCTTCTCTGCCCCATGGCTCCAAGGCACATGCAATGTTAAAAATCTCTATTTGAGTTAATAAAAATGACAAAACAATACAAAATACAAAACAAAAACAAAACCATCCAAATCCCGTCCTAGGCTCTGGAGAGAGGCAGCACACTGTTGGGCTCGAGCTCAGCAGACCTTGGAGCATCTGAGGCTGGCAGGGAAGGGTGCTGACAAAAAGGTTCACTGTCTTTTTTGGGAGGAAAGCTTTAAGGCAATCGTGGGCCCTGTGTCGGTTCATCTTCATTCTTTGCCTGGGTTTGGAATCACTGGGGAGATACACCTGGGAGCATGGCTGTGAGGGTGCTCCAGGGAAGACTAAGGGAAGACTCTCCCTGAGTGTGGGGAGCACCGTGCCGTGGCTGGAGTCCTGAACTAAACGAAGAGGGGGAAAGTGAGCTGAGCACCAGCATCCTTCACCCCACTTCCTGCCATGATGGGGTGCACTGCCTCACACCCATCCTACTGCTATGTCTTCCCTGTTATGAGGAATTGACAGTATTTCTTCAAACTCAAACCCTTCCTTTAGATGTTTTTAACAGGTTTTTCTCAAACAGCAACAAGACAAGTTACTACTACAGGTCCTTTGTAAACAGATTCAGATTTTGTAGTAAGTGGACATAGCTCTTCGGCTCCTACAGATCAACTCCAGGGAGATTACAGAGGGAGGGGGGGTGTTCATTTATTTATTGAGCACCTACTATATACATCTTCCGAGGATGTAAAGACGGCGTGGAGTCAACTCATCCCAACTCTCACAGCATCTCGGATTACAATTCAACGGCTGCTGTCCTCCCATCCCACACTCAGGGCTGGCGGTCAGAGATGATGCGGTCACGTGCGGAGACAGTTTTGGTTTCATAATGAGAGACGGGGTGCAGACTTCCTGCTATCTAGTGGCATAGCTGTCACGATGCTCAGGACGGTTCCTACAGCAAAGAATTATCCAGCCGAGGACTCAGATGTAGCTTGCTTGGTAGAGTGAACGTCCAGCTTGCACTAAGCTCTGGGATCTATCCCCAGCGACGTATAAATTGGGCATAGTGGGGCAAGAGGGTCAAAAGTTCAAGGTAACCCTCAGCTAAATAGCAAGTGTTAGGATTCCACAAGCACACAGAACATTAATCCCTGGCAGCACACAGGAGCTGCTGTGTCCGCCTTGCTTCTTTAAAGCTTATTAGGTGTGCCAACATGCAGCCCAGAGTGAGACCACTGCTCGGCAAAACCACGTCTGCTCCACCTGTGGGACCCTGGAGGAGGGGACCAAGCCTAGTGGGGTTGCACAAGCGACCCTGACTTCACAGCCTCTCAGACTCAAAGGCAACAAGGGCCTGGAGTCATATGTTCCCTCCACTGGGCTGGACTGGCCAGTGTCTGGAAGCCATTGGCTATTTTCCGTATCTCTAATTCTACCCCTCCCCTCGAGATGGGGTTTCCCTGCAAAGGGGCTGCAAAACCTCGGTACAAAGAGCAAGACTGCCACCTAATGGAGAGACTGGGCATGACCGCTCAGCTGCTAAGGGCTCGCTGGATGTGATCTAGGGTCTCATCTGCATCACCCTGAGATATGTACCTGTGCACTCAGCTTCCCTCTGCAATCTCACCCTCACATTCCACACACCCTGCACTGACTGCCTGGCTCCTCCACATGCCACGACAGCCCCCTGACTTCTACTGGGATCCAGGACAGATACTGACTGTCCTAACCCGTCCTGGAAATTAGCAAACTACCATTTCCAACTGGATATAAAGCTTTTGGTCTCCACAGAGAGGGCCCATTACATCCAAGCCTGAGGATTGGTGGTTGTGTGACTCATTCTGATTCCTACACATGAGCATCTCAGACAGTCTATGTCAGCCCACATTTGGCCTGCTTTTCTGACCACAATGGTAGTCCTGGGTACTGGGCTTCTCTGAGTCCTTCAGATGTAGCTAAGGGTTCTCAGGAGTCTTGAAGCTGTCCTTTCTACTGTACAGGGAAATCTTTCTTCTGGCTGCAAATGGAGTGTAGAAGAATTCCTAAAGGCAAGGGGAAGATAAGGAGGGTCACAACACAGGCAGGGCACACCTGTGTTGCACATACAAGTGAGACACAGAGGGAGAAGCTTGCTCAGGATAAATCAGTCAGAGAACGAGAGGAGAGGAGAGGGAAGGTGCAGACTCACCTGTAGCCACAGACACATTCAAGGACTCAAGACCGGGAGGCAGGTGTCGTCTGGGCAGAATGGTAAGGAGCAGCTGGCAGGAGGCAAAAACCTCCTGGGACAGACCAGAGCCCTCATTGCCTGCAAAACAGGAGACAGTGTTAGTGAGCACCAGCCAGACGTCCACATGCTTAGGAAAGACATCTGCAAATATAAAAGCAGGTATAGCCTACCTACCCAGCACCAGGAGAGTAGGTCGGTCCCAGACGAACTCTAAGCAGCTAATGATGGGGACCTTAGAGGACTGGGAGATCTCAGGACCTGGGCAGCCCACTGTGCCCACCACGAGCCATCCCTGCTGGGCCTTGGCCTAGAAGAGAGAAGAAAATACCATGTGCTGCTTCACCAAATCTTCATTAGCGCCATGGTCAAGGAGGAGCCCAGCCTTGCACACACACATTCACTGAGAGATGACTTCAACTTAGTCAGGAAGTCAGTCAGGACCTCTGCCTGGCCTGGATCTGTTCTGGGCCCTGAGGATGGGGTCAAGAACACACAGACTAAAATCACAGCTATGCGGCAGGGCGAGAGAAGTCCCCTTTGAAGGGACAGCAAAAATCAGACCTGAAGATAACCAATGAGTGTCTCATAGACAGTAGGAGAAGGTTCCAGACAGGGATATATGCATGTATGGTGGCCCAAAGACCCCGCCTACTCATCATACCTAAGGACTGTTAAGTTGGTCAGTGGCAGGACAATGGCCACATAGGGTTAGGTCTCAAGGGCCACTGGAAACATAGGGCCTTTATACTGATATAAAAGCTTTGAACTGTTGTCTTGGTTTTTGAGATATGAGCTCATGAGCTGGAGAGATGGCTCAGTGGTTAAGAGCACTGACTGCTTTTCCAGAGGTCCTGAGTTCAATTCTCAGCAACCGCATGATGGCTCACAACCATCTGTAATGGGATCCAATGACCTTTTCTGGGGTGTCTGAAGAGAGTGACAGTGTACTCACATACATAAAGTAAATAAACCTTAAAAAATAAAAAGTTATGAGCTCACTATGAACCCCAGGCTGGCCCTGAACCCATGGTGATCTTCCTGTCTTAAGTCTCTCAGGTTCTGGGATTACAAGTATATACCACAGACTTAGTGCTCTGAAAGTTTATGAGCAAACGTCTGACTCATTGTGCCTGCCACGCTGAGACCTAAGCCTCAGGCCAGGAAGCTGGGAACTCGGACCAGTGTATCAGTGAGAAGTGGGGATGGTGTGGCAGTGACTCCAAGGACAAGGATTTGGGGACGTAGCTATGGGATCAAGAAGTCAAAGATAATGTCTGGGCTAAACAACTGAGCTAGACAGGTCCTAGAAAAACAGATGGTCAGTCCTGGAAACGGGGAGTTTGAAATGCCCACTGTGGGAGTGGAAAAGAGGAATGGAATAATCTGGAATTGGGGTATGGAAAGTCAGGAGTTTAAATTTGATGATGATGGTGGTGGTGGTGGCAGCACATAACTTTAATCTCAGCACTCGGAAGGCAGAGGCTGGCGGATCCCTGTGAGTTCAGGCCAGACTGATCTACAGGGTGAGCTCCAGGACAGCCAAGGATACACAGAGAAACCCTGTCTCAAAAAAACATAAATAAATAAATAAATGTGGAAGCTTAAGCCAGAAAAGGGCTCAGTGCATAAAGGCACTGGTTACCAAATCTGAGCCCACATGGCAAGGAAAAACCCACTCCAGAGAGTACACACACACACACACACACACACACACACACACACGAACTTGAGAGGCTGAAACAGGAGGATCATGAATCTGAGGTTGGTTACACAGCCAATCCCTTTCTCAAAAAGCTAAAATAAGGGAATTTACATAAAAGAGATCCAAGCCCAAGACTTGGAACGTGACAGTGTTTGGAGGTCATGGGATTGAAGAGAAATCACCGGTGATGCCTACAGGAGAGTGCAGAGGCAAAGGGAAGGTCAGGGGGAGCGGGTGAGGCTGTGGTTCAGGGGCAGCATGTCTACCTGATGTAAGAAGCTGAGTTTGATTGATAGCACTGAAAAAAAAAAAGTGATGGAAAAAAAGGGGGTGAGGAATGATCATCTGTGTTAGATGCTGTGGACTTGTCAAGCATATGAGAACTAAGAACGGACCTTTGAAGCAACATGAAGGATCGTGTGAGTGTCTTGTGTGAGTGTCGAGGGCTTTGATCTGGTATGTAAGGATCTGACAGACATGAGGTCAGACAACAGAGAGAACACTCTTGGTATTCTGCAGTGGGGCTGCCATTGCTGGAGCAGGCTTTGGTAGGCAGTGGAGTGGGTACAAGGCTGGCTGCTGACTCTAGCTCGTTCCCAGTAACAGGTGGAAACAATTCTGTGGCCCAGCTGCTGGCAGGGAGTATTGGACATGAGGAGAGGACTCCACTTCCCACCAGTCTCGGCCAGAGTTCCTCAGAAGAAGGGTGCTTACGAGATGAAGCCAGACATGCTTCTAGACATGTGCTGGTCAGTATGAAAACCACTGGACACACTTGATCACTTTCTAAAGATAGTAACTTTTTTTTTTACATGTATGAGGGTTTAACTGCATGTAAGTATATGCACCACATGTGATCAAATGCCTAGGGAGATCAGAAGACGGCATCAGATCCCTCGGAACTGGAGTTATAGATGGTAGTGAGCCACCATGTGGGTGCTAGGAATCAAGTGTGGGTCTCCTGGGAGAGCAGTCAGTGCTCTTAACTGTTAAGCCATCTCTCCAGCCCTAGTACACGCAACTATTAAGGACTGAAATATGGCTATTCCAAATTGAGGTGTATTATGTATAAACATTTCAAAATGGGATTTAAGCTGGGCATGGTGACACAGACCTATAAGGAAGCTGATGCAGGAAGATTTCTGTGGATCTGAGGCCAGCCTGGGCCACACAATACCCTGTTTCAATATTCTTCATTAATATTTAAAATGTATGTTTTAATGATAACATTTGTGGTATATTGAATAAAATTATGTTTCTTTTTAGTTTTCTGATTTTGTTGTCTTGTTTTGCTTTGTGACTGGGTCTCATGTAGCCCAGGCTGGCCTTGAAATGAACAGTCTTTCTGTCTCCACCTCCACAACTGAACTACAGACGTGTCATCACGCCTGCGTGGTTACTGGAAGATCTGAAATCAGACACGAGGCTTGAGTATAAGTTTATTAGGCAGTTTTCTTCCGCCTCTTTTCAAGGTTATTTTCTCACTGAGGGATGGGGGTGGGGACCAGGGAAGGACAGAGGGCAGAGGGACTGTCAAATGCCAGGCAATGCTGCCCCCTAGGGTGTAGCTAGGAAATACACAGCTAAAATTTGCCCCTTGCAAAGCCTTGTTTAAATCGGTTTCAAGTTGAACTTCTATTCCAGGTATCCACGACTCCTGTCCACCAGTTCCCTAGAATACTGCTTAAGTCCCACTGGTGTCAGACACTGACTTGCTGACACAGGTGGCCAAGGCGTGTAGTAAAAAGTAAATGAGGCAAGGAAATCCCTAACTTCAGACGATGCTCTATTTTAAAGGCCCTGGGATTCTTCCAGGGGGAACTTAGAAGGTCGTAGGAATCAATGCCACCACGTCCCCTCCTCTCCGCACACCCCCAATCCACTGCTAGCTGGAAGTAGCTTTATGAACCCGAGCTAAACTCATCGCCTCTTCTTCCCATCTCTCGTCCCACTTTACCTGCAAAAAACCGGGCAGGTCAGGAGTGGCGAACACGTCCATCACCTCCATAGCCCCAGCGCTGGCCTTGCTGACTACTGGAGTAAGCGGACAGCTGCAAAGGTTCCCCACGATCCGTGTTAAACCCGGAAATCTCCAGCCCCGCGCCCTATACACCCCCGGGCTCCCCACCAGGTGCTTAGGAACTTGGCACCGCCTCCAGATCGGGCGCAAACGGAATTAAGGGACGTCCGTGCCTGTTTCTCCGGCTGGTGATGACCCTGTCTACTCCGAGGAAGTGAGCGGAGCGCATCACAGCTCCAAGATTGCGGGGATCCTGGAGCCCCTCAAGGACGAGCCACAGCTGCTGAGGGTCGTCGCCTGAGCTCGTGTCTGCCACCTCATCGCAAGGCCGGGGTCGCAGCGGGCTCACCTCCATGCAGACGCCCTGGTGCACCTGGTAGTCGCACAAGGCATCCAGTTTCTGACGCCTGGGCCTCAAGACAGGGATCCCCCGAGCCTCGGCTACCCGGAGCAGCTCGGCCCGCTCCCCCTGCAGCCCAGCCTTACCGGCCTGGAGCAGGAGCCGGGCCACGCGCCGGCGGGCGGCCCTCAAGGCCAGGAGGCATGGGGACAGGCCAAATAGACGTTCCAGCCGCTGGGCCGGCGCCAGGTCATCCAGAACCAAGCGACTCAGCTCCTCCCCGCCAGGCCACTCTCCGCGCCGAGCCACCGAGGAGAAATGGCGGGCAATCAGGCGATCGAAGCATCCGACCGTCCAGAGGAGTCGCATTGCTCCAGCAGCGCCCGGGACTCCACTGACAGCTGGGGAGGACTCGTTGGCCTCCCACACTTCGTCCGCGCTCAAAGACTGCCCACAACCTGACACTCGAGCCAAGAGAGTCGCCTCCCAGACTCCCACGTGGGTCCCCGGCTTCCGGGTTCTGGAGGCCCAGCCCCCTGTCCGATGACGCACACGCGCACTTGACGGCAACCTTGTCTCCACAGCACCCCCTAGAGGGGCGGCTCGCACTGCCTCCACGGACGCAGGCGAACCCAGAGGCTGTGCTGATGCTGAGCTAACCTTGGCCTGCTCCCGGTAAGTTAGGAGGCTGAGATAGCCGCATTCACGTACTCATCTGCAAAGACTAACTTATGGCAACAGTTGGCCATCTGTTCAATCGTGAGTCTTGGTGCCTTCCTACATCCAGGCACAACGTCATAGTTGGGACTTCCCCCCACCCCCACCCCAGAAGCTTATCCTCTCAGACTCTCAGCACCAGCCAGCAAAACCCCAAGAATTTCCCATCTCCCGACCATTGAAGTGAAAAGCGCCAACGAGCCTCTCAAACGACCGATGCCCTTAGCCCATGGTAATGCTGGGACTCCTTTGCTCGTTGCCCAGACTTCTAGTAATTCTTTTCAGCCTCGTCTTTTTAAACTTTTTTTCCGTTTTCCTAATGATTCCTTTTAATTTTTTATGTGCATTGGTTTTTTGCCTGCATGTATGTCTGTGAGGGTGTGGGTCCCCTAGAACTGAAGTTACAATTGTGAATGGCCATGTGGGTGCTGAGAATTCTACCAGGGTCCTCTGGAAGAGCAGCCAGTGCTTTTACCTTTTGAGCCATTTCTCTAACTCCCTTCCCTCTCACCCCTTTTGAATCAATGTCTCACTAAGGAGACCTCATAGATGGCCTGAAACTCGTTGTGTAGTCCAGACTGGCCTCAACATTCATGGAGATCCCCCTGCTTCAGCTTCTCGAATGTTGGAATTAAAGGTGTGCACCGGTATTACATGGCTCCAACTTACTTTATTTTTCAAAATTCTTTCAGGTGTGGGGGCATATTGTCTGTCTCTACAGCTGTAGAGACCACATGTGTGCCTGGTGCCCCAGGAGAAGAGAGGAGGGTGTAGGATTCCCTGGGACTAGAATCAACACGAGGGTTCTGGGAATCAAGCTTAGCTCCTCTAGAGCAGCCAGTGTTTGTACTTACTTATTCACTTATGTATTTTGGAGACATATGTATCCTTGGCTCCTTGGCTGGCCTGGAACTAACTATCTCCTGTTCCCACTCCAGAAGTAATGTTCCAAATCTATCTACCTTCCCAGTTACCTGGAAGAAATTCTGAGACACCAGCTACACTGATCGACAAGAAGGGGGAAAAAACTGAAAGATACTTCTGAAGGCAGAGTAGGTTGCAATCTTTCTCTTTAATTGTTGTGGTGAAATGCAGTAGGAGACAGACCCTGATACTCTGTAGCCGTGGTCAGAGTGAAGTGAGGACCCCAGGGTAACGGCCAAAACTTGGCTGGAGAGCTGGTGGGCAGGGGGAGGGGGATTGGTGGGCTGGGAAGGGGAGCCTGGAACCCTGGACAACCATACAGATAAAAGATGAGGTCTCTGCTGCTCCAACCCTAAGGGGTAGGGGTGGGGTGCAGGAGGATAGAGCAACGCCTCTTTTGGCCACATCCCTTTCCTGGGTCAAAAGGAAGAGGCACAGGAGAGCAAAGGTTAAGGAGCCCCAGGAGGGGGACTCGGGAAAAGTTAGATAAAGCAGTCTCGATTATGTCTTTTCTCCCCAGCCCATTTTTTCACATTTGTAATGGGAATAATCTGACGACCTGTCTATCTCTTAGTGGGGTGGATATAGAAAGTAAGATCCAGGGTCCAAAAATCAACACCTAAAATCCAGAGGCAGGAGGCAAGCCGTGAAGGGTAGGGGAGGTAGGAGCTCCCCACAGAACACTAGGTCACCTGCTCTGTGGGCCTCATCTGGATGTCTCCAACCTGTGGAAGGCAGAGGGTCTGAGGCAGCCACCCGCTTAGGGACTCCCTGCTGCCCACTTCTGGGCACTGTTAGGCTCTTCCCAGTGGGGAGACAGCTAAGGCCACACTCACCTGAACATGTGGGGGGGTGCTGAGGACATAGATGACAGCCTCGGCCACATCTTCTGGTCTGAGACACTGAGAGCAGGGGTGGGGGTTGGGAGGGTGTTGAGACAAGGGTAGACCTGACCCTGATCCAAGTTCCTTCCCACCTCCGAGGGACTCTAACATCCCCACCCCCAACCCTCCAGGGGTGACAAGCTCAGCAGAGGGTACAGTCTGAGACGACTTAAGGACTGAGTGGCTTTCCTAGGCTCAAAAGGAGACCCACCTTTATGTGTTCATAGGTGGCAGCTGCTTCCCTTGGGTCCTTGTCATAGAGTTTGAAGGCGAACTGTGTCTCCACCAAGCCTGGAGAGATACACTGGGCCAACAGAGAGGTCCTGGTCAGCCTGAGCTTTATAGCCCTTGTGGAGGTAAAGGGGGAAAAGATCGAGGCCACAGGGCTCCTGCTTCACAGTGACATCTGCCACGTGTCCTCAACTGTTCTCCGCCTTCCAAAGTCACCACTAAGAGTTCCGACTGGAAACTCTCACAAGACCCTGCACTATATATGGAGCCCTTCCTATATGGTTAATGCTTTATAAAATGGTATTCCCTAAAGCATCCTTCCATTTCACAGATGTGAAGACTGAGGCTTAGGTAGGCTCAGTGATTTACCCAAAGTCATGTGCTTTTCTAGAGAAGAGAGCCCAGAGTGCTGGTATCCAGTCACTGTGTGTGATTTTTCTTAGCCTTATTCCATGTTCCCTTCAAGTTGTCCCTCTCCCACTCAAAGCGTTAAGTCTGGCCCTTGGCCTTGAGGTGACAGTCCCTGTAAGGAGCAGCAGTGCCAAGGACCTGTGCACTGTTGAGCCCAGAGGCTCTCAGCAGGCCTTCCTGGGCATGTGCAGGCTGGAGGGCTGGGCCCACGCCATTCCCACCAGGGCTAGACCACAGCCTCACCGTGGCCCGGATATGGGTCTGGGCCTCCAGAAGCTCTTGCCTTAGTCCCTCTGTCAGTGCAGTGACGGCATACTTAGTCGCACTATAGAAATGGATCACAGACTGGGGTGGGACTCGGTGGCCACACATGCTGGGTGGAAGAAGGGAAGGGGAGAGAGGAGAGAGTAAAGTTCCACAGCCACGGGCAGTGCTCCTATTACCCTGGTCGGCCTCGTCACCCAGAGGCCGACAGGGAACCCTTGCTGGAGGAAACTCTGATGGCTACCCCTACAGTCCACTGAATAAAGCTGGTCTCTGTTGTCTACACAGCTCCTGAAACCTGCTTTGCCTGAGAGCTGACCTTCTGCTGACTACACACTCACTTCTACAGCCAGATAGCCTCACAGTGTCATCTGTGTGCTTACTGATATGTGTCCACTGGGAGATCTCTGGGGTTGGTGCAGGCCATGCTCTCAACAGACAGTGGGCACTCCTATGGTAGAGCCTATGCAGTCTCTTTGTACCTCAAGGCAGATGGGTCCCAGAGCCTGAGGAAGAGGCACAGTGGCGCTGGGTCCCAGGAGAGTTCCCAGGCACTGGCTACAGACAGCAGAGGCTGAGCGCCCACTCTAGACAACCAGAAGTGGGCATTCCCCTCTGTCAGATTCATGCCGTTTGGATATTAAATCCTATTTCGCTACCAAAGAAGCTGCTGTCTAGAGGTTGGATGAGCTGCGACAGATAGATCCCTATCTGAAGGGTGTCCCAAGACCTGAGCCTCAGCCACCTGGCCTCACCTGTTGATGTTAATGATGTGCCCGTCGTCGACATTCCGCTCCTTCATGGACTGATAAGCTTCCCGAGTGCAGATGCTGAGGGCCAGCACGTTCACCTGTGGGCCAGGAAAGGCAATGGAGTGTCTCCAGCTTGGGCCCAGTGCGTAGCTGTAAGAGCTACGGAGCACGGGGGTGGTGAGGATGGGGGTGCGCTCTCTGTGGATGACCCACCCCTCGCAGCTGCCTCTCCAGCAGAGGCAGCTCCTTCCCTGGCTGAGTCTCTGTAGGAATGAGCCTCCCACTCAAGCCCAGGACACTCTGCTGACCATCTGCCCACAGTCAGACCTCTCTCCCTCAGGAAACCAGTCACTCTGCTCAGGGACAGTGTCCAGACCTGCCCCCTCCTAAACAGATTGAAAACTCTCTTGGAATGGCCTAAATCTTTTTCTTCATACAAAGAACCCAGCTCCTCTCTCCCTGCTCTTCTCAGCCACTCTGCTCCAGTGTAATCCCCGCACATCATGTGTAGAGGAGGCTCACACAGCTGCCTTTAATCTATACCTTGGTGACAGGTCCAGGTGTGGGGAATCTTCAGAGGGTAGGGTCTCTTGCCCCTCCCAGCAGAGGTGACCTCAAGTCCCCACCATTCACAGAGCAGAGGTCTGAGCTATCAGCTATGAAGCGCCTGTCTGCTGTCTGCTCCACCCATTAGCCTTGCCAGAGAGGCCAGAAGAGATAAAGTTTTCATCGGGTCCTCCTGCCTCTCTCCTCTTCAGATGAGAGGGACAGCTGGCAGACTAGCTGGTTCACTTTATCAGGTGTCACCCAGGCATCAGGACAGAACACCCTCAGTGAAGACCTGCTTCAGCAACACTTGAATATTAGGACGTAGAGAGGATCAGCCCTGTTTCTGGTCCTCTTAACAGGGTGGTATTGTAGGGAATATGGAAGACAAACAAATCCCTAGGAGCATGAAGGAAGCCCCCTAGGTCTAGGGCCTACTAGGATGGGGCTAATGGACGTAGGTGATATTCAGAACAAAGGGGCCTTGGGCACTTAGGAGTACCTCCTTTTACAGGTGGGCAAGTTGAGGACCAGGTTTAGATATATGCCTCTACACGTGAGGGTTATCACTCTGATCTCCCAGAAGTCAAGGCTTCGTTTTTCTTGTTCAGTGTTTCACTTCTAAGTACCTATTAATATTGACCTATTAACCAGATGTAGAGAGGGCTATGGCATCACTTTCAGCCTCTTAAATACTTTCACACCATAAGGAAGTAGTTCTCAGCCGTCCTAATACTGAGACCCTTTAATACAGTTCCTCATGTTGTGCTGACCACCAACCATTATTTTCGTTGCTACTTCATAATGGTAATTTTGCTGTTATGAACCATAATGTAAATATCTCCGTTTTCTGGAGGTCTTAGATAACCCCTGTGGAAGAGTCATTTGATGCCCTTCTAAAGGGGTCATAACTCACAGGTTGAGAATCATGGCCCAAATGTCACCCTATAATACAACCTGAAGTTGGAAATACATGCCTTCAAACACATGTACTGTGTTTGACATGCGCATGCTCTTATTACATTTACTTATTTACTTTGTGTGTGTGTGTGTGTGTCACTGCTAATGTGGAGGCCACAGGACAACTTGTAGGAACTGACTCTTTTCTCTTGGGTCTTAATAGTAAGCACCTTCATCCACTGAACCGTCTCACCAGCCTCGGGGCCTGCACATGCTCTGGAGCATAATACAGACTCCCCATTTCTCTTAAATCAAAGATCTGCCCATACTGCCGTGGAACAACTAACCTGAATTTGAGCAGGGGCCACCCCTTTACAAGGCCATATGCTCTCCCACACTCTGTAGAACATACCTGAAGACAGTGGAGTTTGTGATATTGATGATTTAGGCGTCAGACTTAATTAGGGATACAGGAATTGTAAACCAATTAAGTTTGAAAGGACTTAAGCTCAGAGGCTGTCATGAATTTGCCTGAGGCATACAGTTACAGTGGGCAGAGTGAAAACATAGCTTCTCTCATCCCTGTTCCCTTTCACCCCCTAAGACCATGTTCCCAGGTATCCAGCATGGGCAGGGGACATTCACAAACTACAGTTCTCTCCTCTGCAGTCTTTCCTCCATCCCAATCAGTCTAGAGTTTAAGAACTATTATCGAGACCTGGAAGGACGTTTATCCACTCACTTGTGAGACAAACAGTAAGTGGTAAATCAAAAACTGCCCTGGTAGGAAACTATCCCCAGGTTTCCTCTGTCTTGTAGGCCCCTGGTTTCTACTCTCCTCTCACCACCCAGCCCCTGGCCCCACTTCTAGAACCCTTACATTGAACATGTCCTTCCATCCGCTGGTGCTGCCTGAGAGCAGGGTGTCAGGCCGGGCCATGCCGGCATTGTTGATGCAGATATCCACGCCACTGTGCTGGGATCGGACAGCCGAGAACATGGAGAGGATGTCCTCCTCATTTGACAGGTCACATCTGTAGGGGATCAAAGTCCCGGGGTAGCCTGCACTCTTACATTCAGCAGCCAGCTCCTATGAAACCCAACAGGGGTCTAACTGGGGTGTGCTGCTCACTCCCAAACCTCCTCACCCAGGGTCAGCCTTCCCTCCCAAGTCACTACCCAGAGTGCTCTAGTGACAGCCACCTTTTGGCTATATGAGAGAGGCAGGGTCTGCTCATCCCCAAAGCTTGGTCTGTCTGGTCAAAGTCCAAGGAGTTGGGGACACTCCCTGAGTGAAGGAGAATAACCAAGCTGATCAAGAAGGAGTCTCACATATACATAAAAGCCTTCAGTGCTAAGGAGAAAGAAGGAGGCAGGGGTCCTGGGACGCAAGGGAGATTTCTCTTTGGTACCTTCCCCAATATCTGGAAGTAAATCTATATATACTTCTGGCCCAACATCATTCTTCCACTACTGCCAAGAGACCCTGAGCTGGTTACTCCAGGGCCCAAATTCTCTTCTCTTTAACATCAGCCAGTCCCTCCCAGAAGGGCTCAGCTCTGAACTGCCACCTTCTCTTCCTGGAAAGCAGACAGAACTTAAAAGATGAGCCCTAGACACAGCTCTCAGTGGAGCTCAATCTCCTCTTTCTCCCTACAAGTGGTCAGGATGTCAAGACAGACTCTCTAATCCCTTCTGCCCCATCCCAAGTTTTCCTCACCTACTCTTAGACACCAGCCACTAGACACTCCCTGTGCATGTCCTCTGGACATACTATAGAGCCCCAAGAAAGCAGAGTCACTGAGCAGAGGGAACTGACATTTAGAAGTTGGAAGCAAGTAGGCTGTGGGAGGCCAGTAAGTGACCGAGCCTTGTGAAGGTGACTGTGTGACTGCAGTGGGGTGTGGGGAGAAGCTGGCCTAGAGGAAGGCCAGTTTGGCTAACTGCCCTGGCCTAGAGCCCCTTCCTCCTCCCCAGTGAAGCTAGAAATAAAAGGCTCAATCAGGTGACCAAATAAATTCTTTCCTGTTCTTTTTCTTTTTGTTTTTTGAGACGGGGTCTTTCTATGTAGTCCTGGCTGTCCTGGAACTGGATAGGTAGACCAGGGTGTCCTTGAACTCATGGAGGTCTGCCTACCTCTGCCTCCCCAGTGCTATGTCAGGCTCTTTACTGCTGTAACTTTCTGTGAGTTAAAAAATGGTGCCCCTCTAGGACTCAGAAGCCCCCTTCCACCTGACTTTACTGTCCATGGTTACTTCATGGAATAGGATTTCTCCCAGGAGAATTCCAGAACCCAAACTTAGTTTTAATATCAGCAAATTCATCAATGAATAAAAACAGATAGTGAACAAGAAACCCAAGAATTCACTCCACTCCAGACTAAAAATCTCCAACAGCAAAGCTGTGTGTATGTGTGTCTGTGTGTGTATGTCTGTGTATCTATATGTGTATGTCTGTGTGTGTATGTCTGTGTGTGTATGTGTGTGTCTGTGTGTGTGTGTCTGTGTGTCTATGTGTGTGTGTGTGTGTGTGTGTGTGTCTGTGTGTATGCCTGTGTGTCTATATGTGTGTATGTCTGTGTGTCTATATGTATGTCTGTATGTCTATACATGTGTATGCCTGTGTGTCTATATGTGTGTATGTCTGTGGGTCTGTATGTGTGTATGTCTGGATGTCTATATGTATGTCTGTGGGTCTGTATGTGTATATGTCTGTGTGTCTATATGTATGTCTGTGGGTCTGTATGTGTGTATGTATGTCTGTGGGTCTGTATGTGTGTATGTGTGTATGTCTGTGTGTCTATATGTATGTCTGTGGGTCTGTATGTGTGTCTGTGTGTGAATCTATGTGTGTGTGTAACGTTACTCATCTCCCTGCCATTGTCTCTCCTTGCTTCACTTCTGCCAGCTCCATCTACTTTCCAGAATGACCTGAAATCAAGGGCTATCCCCACACAGCAAAGATGTTCTCTCTTAATGACATGCAGCCACCCTAGAGCTTAATGATCTGTTTGGAGATTCCCTAGGGATTCAGGGAATTCAGCCCTTTACTGCCTTAGGGTAGAGAAGTGGAAGAGAAGGCAAGAGCGGCTTCAGAACTAGGGAATCAAAACTAAAACCAAAAAACTAGGGAATCCAGTTGTCCAATCCTGGCCTTAATCCTCTAGGCTCCAAAGCTGGGGCTGGGGCTGGGCCATGTGCTTCTGGGGGGGGGGGTGGCGAAGTGAGGCAATGGTAGAGCCAGGTGACCTTGGGATTATCTGAGAGGCTATAAAGTGTACCTTTGGCCAGTAGCTGGGGAGGGGACAGTCCTCCTTCCTGCAACACCTTCTCCCTTTGCCTCCACCCAAGGCCTCCTTACCCTTTTCTGTCAGAGGACTTTGAGCCATGGTGAAGATAGAGCCCTACAGGTAAGGACTAACCCACACACCTGATGGTGGTCCTGCCAGGGCAAATAATAGGAATTTCTCTTGTCTTCTCCCAAATGGCCATCTCCTCCCCGTCTTTTCTGATCTGATGCTGCTCATATCTCCAGTAACTCCCAAAAGCATGTTAAGAGAAAACCTAGGGAGTTCTGGGTCCCTAACACTTGGTCTTCTCAAGACTTACATGTGTAATGCTCTGTTTCACCTATTCAGTCCCATCTAGGAAAATGAATCCGGAAAAAGAGAAGAATCTATAAGTAAATATTCCAGTCACCATCTAGGCTCCTGGCATGTGAACGGAGACTCAGATATTAATTGAAAGGAGAGCTAGCTTCCACCCTAACCCCACCCTCAGTCATGGGTCAAACACTCAGGACCTCTAGCTCCTGCTCATTGGTTGGCCAGCTCTTTACTCGGTGTGGCTGGGGTGAGGTCTAGGGACAAGAGGAAACTAACTTAGCCACTTAGGCTAGCCAGTTTTCTTTCCTTCTCCCTGGCTCCCTAGCTAGCCCTTGACCCCTCTCTGGTTTCCTCTTTCACCTGCCTGTATGAGGGGCACAAGATGGTAGGGGTAAGGGAAGAGAATACCAGGGGTCAGGATTTGGTACACTGCGGCATAGGCTATCAGGAGTGAATGGCTCTTTATAAAAATAGGACTTAGAGAGAAGGTAGGTCTTCTCGCTACTAAACATCTATCATTTCTGCCTTCAAGGCCGTTGCAAATGGCCCTGGGGTAGCAGGCTGGTAAGAGCAGGGTCCCTGGCTTCAGCCTCGGCCACTCTCCCTCCCCCACTCAGAGCCCTACCCCGTGGAAACGACGTCCCCCTCCCCCAGAGCGTCCCGGCTACCCAGCGGAGCCTTACCTCGATGTTGCCAACGGTGCGGGCACAACCCACAACCTTCAGTCCCTGCTGGACTAATGCCCGGGCCACGGCCGCACCGATGCCCCCCGAGGCTCCAGTCACCAGTGCCAGCCGGTCGCGCCACCGCTCCATGCCAGCTCTGGTCATGATCCCGAGCCGTCTGCCCACCTCGTTCGGCGAACCAGGCACTGGGGTCGCGGAGCTTCGTCTACGGTTACTGAAGCTCGGTGGCTCCCTGGTCACTGCAGGGGCGGTCGCCGGCAACTTGGAAATGTTGGAGCTACGCCTAGACCCACCCCCCGGCGGGCCGGCCTCCGGCCGGGGCTCCGCCCTCGGGACCTCGGTATTGGGCCACATGGCGTCCGAGTGGCCACCTTTTCCGGCCACGCCCGCGCCCGCGCGCGAGCCCGTCCCTCCCGCGGCAGGCGGAAACCGCACAGCCTTGAGGGTAGGGGCCCACCGCGGAAGTGGGGCCTGACAGCCTGTGGAGTTGCTTTTTACCGTGAGCGCTTCCCTTTGCGGTGGAGAGCCTCCAGCCGCGAGGAAGAGGACGCACGCACTCAAGGCCTCCTTTGCTCAATCACCCCTACTTCCAGAGGCCTGAGGACAAGATGGGGGACCTAAAGGTTACTCCAGTGCCCTCCCAAACCACTGGTGACTGACAGGATTCAGTCCAAAAAGCTTAAGTGTCTCTGCATGAAGACCAGTTGACTTGATTCTTTGCCCTTAGTAGTCATGAAGTAAATAGTTAAAATACCCAAGTATTGTACTCTACACCTAAATGGCGCCATGGTCTTCAACCATCCTTGACAGCACCCACTCCCAGTCTTACATGGGTGCAAATGTTACACGATGTACATCAACGGTTACCTGCAAGAGCTGACAATTTGAACATCACGTGGCAGACATGTCTTTAGACAACATGTATAATATACCCTTATAAGACTCAACAGAGGGCTCTACTACAAGGTTTGCTGGCACAAGCCGGTAAGGAGACATAGTTTAACTAGTTTCAAGGCCATCCTTTACTACAGAGTGAATTCCAGACCAACTGGAACAAGAGACTTTCTCAAAAAGAAAACAGTAACTATACTGGCACATAAAGGGGTGTGATGGTGTGACCAGCAACCTAATCCTAGGACAGGAGTGTGCCTAACCGTTTTCACTTCATTCTCCAGTACTGGGTTGTCAGTTTTGTTCACATCAGGCAGGACTCCCTTTATTCTCTGGCCACTCAGGATTTAAAATGCCTGATATTGGCAGGTGGTGGTGGTGGTGGTGTATGCCTTCGATCCCAGCACTCGGGGCAGATCTCGAGTTTGATGCCAGCCTGGTGTAGACAGTGAGTTCCAGGACAACTGGAACTACAAAGAAACCCTGTCTCGAAAACACTGATGTCTGCCTTCTTCAGATAGCCATTCTTTATGATTGCTGGAGATGGATTAGCTCAAAGGTCAGGCACCTGCCTACCAGTCACACAAGCCATATTGATTAAGTCCTAGAAGGCTGAGGCATAATTCTAAATTTGAGGTCAGGGTCAACTAGTGAGACCTTGACTTTAAAAGAAAAAATAAATTCACTTGGGGCCAGAGATGGCTCAAGAAGCTAACAACACTGCCTGCCCTTTCCAGAGGACCTTGGTTGGATTCCCAGCATTCACCTGGCAGCTTACAATGATCTGTATCTCCGGCTCTAGGGGATCCAATATCCTCACACAAACAGTCAACCAAGAATACCAATGCACATTTTAAAAATAGGACTGGAGAGATGGCTCAGTGTTTAAGAGCACTGACTGCTCTTCCAAAGGTCCTGAGTTCAACTCACAGCAACCACATGGTGGCTCACGACCATCCGTAATGAGATCTAATGCCCTCTTCTGGTGTGTCTGAAGACAGCTACAGTGTATTCATACATTAAAATAAATCTTTAAAAATAGGAATAAAAATTTTTCACTCAATAAGCACCCATTTGGCTTTCCTTCGTATGGACGCGAGAGCAAGAATTAAAACTAAACTATTGCTTTTGTGGATATGTAGCCAGGAATGTAGTTCAGTTGTCAGAGTAAACACCTAATAAAAAAATTGCCTAGCTAAGAGTTTCTTTCCAAAGTTTTGATATGTTGCTCAGTGATCTACAATCCATTTTAAAGACAATTCAGAAGGCTGATCAAAGAAACGCCATCAACTACCTATGGTGTGGTGGCTCACACCTATAAACACATCATACACTAATGAGGCTGAGGTAAGAGGGTCATCTTCAGTTCAAGGCCAGTCTGAGCTGCAGTGAGGCCTTATTGACAAAAGATACCAATGATGAAAACTGAACCTAAGCACCACTATTAGCCATTTGAGATCTTATTGACAGGAAGCCCCTACAATTCACCCTAGCCCCACTGCCCAGACATGATGTCCTACTACTTTCTCTGGCGACCAAGTGTTGTTACAGAGGCACAAAGCCCTAACTATGCATTTGTGGTGATATTCAACCTAGTTCTTGTGTGTTGTGTGTCAAATGCATTTATATACAAGTGCCCAAGCATGTGTATGTACAGAGCGGAGTAAATTGGTGTGGTTCCTCAGTATCAGTCCATCTTTCTTTTATGACGTATATAGTGGCACACATATTTAATACCAGAATTTGAAAAACAGGCAGGCAGATCTCCATGAGCTCAAGACCTGCCTAATCTACATGGCAAGTTTCAAAAACAACAAAACCCCAAAATACATGTATACATTTATCAGTGGCAGACATGCATGCCACATGCTGTCAGAGGGGACATTTGGGGATCAGTTCTCTCCATGTGCATCCCAGGAAACAGACTTGGGTTTTGAGGACTGGTGGCAAACACCCTCTCCCCTTACTAACCCCATCTTGTTTGAGACAGGGTCTCTCTTTGTCCCGGAGCACCAGTTCAGTAGGTCAGCAAGCCAGTAAGTCTCAGGATCTGTCTCTGATGCCCAGCACTGCGATTTTTCTTTTTATGACTTTTGTCTTTATTTATTCTTTAACAGATTCATACAGTGTATGTATTTAGTCCTTTTCCTTTTAACCCCAATTACCCAGTCTTATCCCTCACGCAACATGTAGTGTGTTTTGGGGATGGAACTCAGGTTCTTTTTTTTTTTTTTTTTTTTTTGGTTTTTCGAGACAGGGTTTCTCTGTATAGCCCGGGCTGTCCTGGAACTCACTCTGTAGACCAGGCTGGCCTCGAACTCAGAAATCCGCCTGCCTCTGCCTCCCGAGTGCTGGGATTAAAGGCGTGCGCCACCACCGCTCGGCGGAACTCAGGTTCTTACAAGCATCTTACTAACAGTCATCTCTCCATCACCGACCTGACCTAACAAATGGCAACAAAATACTACTCCCAACAATCTCTTGCCTTCGGTACTCAAGACAGCTTGTGACAAGTGGTGACTGTAAAGCCATACTGAGTTCATGTTGGAAAATAAAGTACAATGTAGTCAGTCCTCATGAATCCTTCCCTCCCAGTCTTAAAGGCTGATTACCAACATTCTGTTTTCTTTCTTTTGTCAATATGAACCTCTTAAGGTGTTTCTGTTGCCTCTTTGGCAACTTCTAGTATGGCAATTCAAGTCTCATGAGAAAGGAAGATGCTAGCCAGCGTTTAATTGCATTTATTCTTTAAGAACAAGACTAGAAACTGCTTTTCTCAGTTATCAAGTCTCATCAAAAGGAAGAATTCAGTCTTGGGCAGTCTGAATCTCTACCCTCATTTGTTCTTCATGCTCTCTCCATCAACAATGGCCAAGCACAAAGTTTATGAGTGGCAAATACTAAAGTACCACTACATTGAGTAGAAACATGTACACCACATTCTACTATCCGTATTAATAAATACTCTTTATTTTAAATTTTGCACATTGCCTTTAACATTTTGTCCAGACGCTTTGCAAGTGGATGTCTACTGTAAACCATATATCCAGCTGTCATTTCTGTACAGAGGTGTAAGTACAACATTACTTTTGCCACTAAGTTGCTTTAGAAAGTCTCACAGGAAGAGAAACGTTTAATGAAGAGATGGCTTAAATCATAGGCAGGCCTGCATAGCCACGCAACTAAAACACAAGCCTGAAGAAAGAACAAATGAATGAGGTTACCTCCACCGTCTCCCAAAACAAGGAATCACATTGATTTAAGATTTAAGGTAAAATTTTGCCAGAAGTCACTAAATTAGGAGTTTTTAAAAGAGAAGGCGCAGTAGTCATCTTGAGTGTTTCATTGAAAGACAGAGCTATTTTATTTATTTAATTTGCTCCAGCCGTTGTCAGCCAGCCACTACAAACGGGCCTCTTGTGATCATTTAAGCGGCAGTATTTATTAAATTTCTCCTTCAGATGCTGTCGGTATTGTTCTCTATTGCTGTAGAAAGACTGGTTATTAGCCATAAATGACTGTATTTCATCTTGTGAGATAAAGATTTCCTCATCTGAAGTACATTCAGACTCATCCTGCAAATTAAAGCAGTAGTTAAGACCATGACAAAGAATGCAAAAAACTATGCTTGGTCGGGCAACTAAAAATTAAAGCAGCCTAGCTTTTAGTTTCTACCCAGTCACATAATCTCTATCTGGAACGCTTACAGAATAAGCATCATGCAACCCATCTTAGAAACTAGTGAAAATAAAACCTACCTCGGCTTGGTAATTACCCACTATATACCTATGAGCCTACCTTTTACCATAAGTCTCTGCCTTTTAAAATGACTAATAAAAGATGGATACAAATAATCAGCAATTTTTAAATAAGCAGACTTATCTCTAGCCAGTCCTATGTTAAAACTTTTATTTCAACAAATTAAGTAAAATATAACTTTTTTAAACTTAAAAAGTACGTTATATAGAATCACCACTGAACTTTACAACATACACAAAAATGAAATAATAAAATTCTTAATATTCCAAAAGGCACTTCCACCAAGACTTAAATAACGGCAGGGATAGCAGTCTTCTCTCTTTCTTTTTTCATGCTCAATCACATGCTACACAGTGGACACTGGCAATCCAGTATAGTTCAGTTGATCCTTTAGGAGGTGGAATCAATTTACAGCTCTCCCAAGGCCAGTCATACTTTCCTCCTATGTGCCACTTGAAGGAATTATCTTGGAATGCATCTTTAGTTCAAGTTATTTTTTATTGTTTTTCTTCTGGAAGGAGTGACTGTAGGAGACTTAAGACAGGGTCTCATCCTAGGATGAGACTCTCTGTGTGGCTGAGCATGAGTCAAACTGTTAAT